CAGGGTTTTCCTTCCTCTGTCAGCTGGTTATAGGGGATATTCTACGCAGTCATAGCTTTCTGATCCCTTCCCTAGATCACACTGGGTTTCCATAAATAATACTGATATAATGGGTCCTCTGCATCCTTGTGGTGATTATCTTTCACCTTCAAGACTGTACATGTCTTTCTAAGGCTCCAACCTGCTAGCAACTTCTTGGTTATCTGATCCATTTACCATGGTGTCATTGATGCAGTGGACCAGTGTGATGTTCTGTGGGATACCTAGGTTGTCTGCATGTTTTCAGACTATATTATGACAGAATTCAAGAGAGTTAACAGAACCTTGGGGAAAAACATATACCATTTCTATTCAAAGTACACGCAAACTGCTTCTGATCCTTTTATGTGTTAGAACTGGAAAAGAATGTGTCCACAAGATCAGCGGCTGAAAACCATGTAGTTAAGGCCACATATTAGTTAGTCTTAGGTAGCAAATATACCACATCTAGGAAGATGGCTGAGATTGAGGCTACTCTTTGGTTGAGTTTGCAATAGTCCACTGTCACCTTCCAGGGTCTGTCTGGTTTTTGTAGGAACTCAAATGGTGAGTTAAAGAGAGAAATGATGGACACCCACTGTGGCATGCTTTCTCTTCCATTCCCCTCAGATATATTATTTTTGACTTATTATCTTGACTTGGGGATGGGCAGCTTCAGAGGATCCCCACAGGCCAGGGATCCAATGTTGGTGATGTGCTAACTTCCAAGTATTCTTTGTAATTATATTTAAGGACACTACTGAAATTACATAGTGTGTCTGCAGATTAAGTGGACCCACTGTATAACTAATTGAACCAGTACTCCATTTAGTACCTTATCCCTATTTGCATCCTCTCTAACAATGACACCATGATGACATTTTCCCATATAAAGTTGCCCAAGTAAATGGCCATAGGTACCTCTGGGGAAAGTCAGGGAGAATCACCATGGGTGCATTCCCTGTGGTGTTGCATGGCTCTTCCTTCTTGGGACATGGCCTTTCCATCAGTCAGTGGCTTCTGGGTTTAAAAGTGGTTCAGGTCTAAAACTCAAGCAAGGGACCAGAATGTTTCATTGAGTACTCTCAGTATCCTCATTCATCCTTGATTTCTTTTGTTCAGAGATGGAACAGTACCCCTTACTGGTTGCTGATCTATTTTCCCATAGCAACCCCATCTCCATATTTTTCCCAGGTGAAGATTCCTTGACTGGCATTCCTTGACTCACCACTTGTGATGTTTAATTTTCTGTCAAGTTGGCTGGGCTATGGTACCCAGTTATTTAATGAAATAGTAATTCAGGTGTTGCCATGGAGTATTTTGTAGATATGATTGACATCTACTATCAGTTGACTTTAAGTAAAAGAATATAATTTAAGTAAATGAGGTAAAATATTTTATAAAGTAAATATATGTAAGTAAAGTAGAATAATGTTAAGTAAAGGAGATTACTCTTATTTAGTTGGTTGAAGGCCTTGAGAGTACAAGCAAAAGCGGAGGTTTTCTGGAGAAGAGACATTGCCTCAAGATGCCCTGAATTTCCATCCTGCAGACTGTCTGCCCTGTGGATTTCGGACTTGCCAGCTTCTACATTTGCAATTCTTAAAATCTCCATCTCTCTTTATCTCTTTGTCATGTATACATTTCTGTGATGTCATATCTTACCATTAGTCTGACTTACAGAAGAAGACCCATTATCAAAAGTATAAGATGAAAAATAGTCTTGTGTTCTTGTTTCCCATCCACACACAGTCTGCTATTAGCATAATTTATAATTAAATGAAGACTTGGGTTGGTGTGTTACAAACTTGACCAGTTCTTAGGGTGAATTCTTCATTTGGCAAATTCATTAGAATTTTAGTCCCTTAGGCCAGCTTGTCTTTAGAAAACTGACTGGGTTTAGTCTTAGCACACAGTATCTCATTTAACCCTCACAATAGCATTGCAATCAAGGAGCTGTTACCACCTGCCATAGGTCTGAGGAGACAGAACTTAAATCCCTTGCATAGGTGACCCAGTGGCAGAGCTTTTACTGATCTCAGGTCAGTCTGTGTCTAACGCCCTGGGATCAATCTTATCATCTGATTGTTTCTTGATCAAGCCTCAGCCCTTGCTCTACAGAGTATCTCAGGGGAGTGGGGAGACCTGCAAGCTCTCAGGTAGCAGTGGAACGCTTGCTCTGATGGAAGCCAGGTCTGAAATTTGGGAGTCTGCAAGACCAGTCCTTACCCTGTTTTGGCCATTCTGTAAGGTATGGAAAGACTGATCCCATGCCATAGCTATTCAGAAGCCAAGGTGGCCATGGTCACTTCTGTGCTCCATGACATCAACATCAAGGTTACTTTCTCTTAGGACTTGTGGTTCAGCCCCTCTAGTCCCTTCACAGGTTACCTCCCAAGGGGAAAGCAAAAAATTGGGCAATTAGCCTATATAGACTCCTGCTCTCATCAGAAGCTCAGGATGTTCCCCCTGGGTATTAACCTTGTTGGTGAATAGAGATCTTCTTGCCCATTTTTATGCTGCTGGAAAACAGAGATGAAATCTTCAAAAGGTCCCTAGGTCATGAGAACTTGTTCCTTGGATACCAGGTGTGCTGAACAAAAAGTGAAGGCCCAGGGAAAAACCTTGACCAGAAATGTCTGAGCTCACCAAGGAGTGCTGTAGGTCAGAAGATGGAGAATCACCACCTGGCACTGGACGTGTATGTTTAGGCAAGGATGTGTATGCATGCGTGTATTTTTTTGTGTTGTTTGTATAACCCAATGTACTTAGTAGTTAACTAACTCATGTACCAACTCTGTTCATGTAGACAGGGTTACAATAGATTATGGAGGGAAAACTTTTTGGTGTGTGTGTGTGTGTGTTCATGTGTTGTTTAGGTTTATGTTTTTGTGTGGTCTATTTGCATTACTGCACATGTACCTGTATGTAGATAGTATGTTCTTTTTTCTGTGGGTTGTGCTTTGTCTGGATGACTGTGATGTTTATGTATTGTGTTGTGTGTGACAGTGTTTTATTTATCAGTTGAGTGTAAATTCATGTAAAAGTAACACAAACCCTGATTGTATTTTATCTAGAATGAGTTTAGGTCTTGAAGAGAATGTATATAGATCTGACGTCTGTGATGGTGTGCATGAGTGTGTGTGTGACTACATGTGTGTTTTTATGTATAAAACACTTACACTCTATTTTAGCCTAAAATAGGTATAGATAGAAGGGAGGGAAATAAAATCAGAAGGCAACATGTATATGTGTGTTTGCATGGGTTTATGTGTATGTCCATGGGTGTGGGTGTGTGTGTGTGTGCGCGCGCAGAGATGTGTATATGTATGTGTGTTGGATAAACAGATTCATAACTACATTCTCCTTTTATGTCTTATCTCTTTTTATTTCAGACAGAGATAGGCAGCTCTGAGAAGAGTCATCCTCAAGTCAGGTGGTAAGCTATTTGTCCATGTGATTTGAAGACCCCACAGTGCACTGAGGGCACTTTTCTTCATTGACCTTCCAAAATGCCATATTTCTACTCTTTTTTTAAAATTAAAAAAAAAATTTTATTTCTGAAAGAGAGAGAGACAGCGTGAACAGGGGAGGGTCAGAGAGAGAGGGAGACACAGAATCCAAAACAGGCTCCAGGCTCTGAGCTAGCTGTCAGCACAGAACCTGACGCAGGGCTCGAACCCATGAACCGTGAGATCATGACCTGAGCCGAAGTCGGACACTTAACCGACTGAGCCACCTAGGGCCACTGACTGAGATGAGCTCAGAGAACAGAGGTTCTTCGAAGAGGCTCTTCTATCAGATCCCTATGCCTTAGAATGATGGTGTCTCACTGGGTTCCATCTTAGGGCTTCTGTGTGTGGCCTCTAAGTCTGATTTAATTCCCAGCAAGGGAGTTGCCTGGCCTTTAGTGCAAAGACTATCAGAAGTCCTATGCTTAAGATCAGAGTCTATCAACTAGTACATGCTATGGAGTATGTGATTTCATACCTGTTTCTACTATAGTAACATGAAATAATTGACTGTTGGAATTTCTGCTTTACAGGCACTCAATTAATGCTTGCTAATTAATGTAACTAAGTGCATGTGGAAGACCTTCAAAAATTGGAAAGTGTGGTATAAGTAGGTGACCATACATTCTGGTTTGCCTAGGAAAGTCTTGGTGTAGACCTATTGTTCTGGTATAATTATTATTTAACTTCTCTTTTCAGTCTTTAAAAAATTATTTTTAGAGAGAAAGGGAGAGTGTTTGGGTCAGAGGGAGAGAGAGAGAAATCTTAGGCAGGTTCCACGCTCAGTGCAGAGCCCAACATAGGACTTAATTCCATGACCCTGGGATCATGACCTGAACCAAAATTAAGAGTTGGATGCTCAACCAACTGAGCCACTGAGACACCCCTCTTTTCTTAAAGTATGCTGGCTTGGATAATATAATATAGGGTCATCACATGTATGAGTATAGGTAGGTAAATCAAGTAGGTAGATTTTGAAGGGCAATTTTGAAGCCCTGAAACAATTCCAGACATGGACCAGGATATTCTGCCAAATGAACAAAGGGCAGTAACAGCAGAATGGTGAAGAGTAGGATCTCTGACTATGGTGACAAAAGTCCCCAAGGCCACTCAGGTAGTAAATTATTGAGTTTAGAATCCAATTCAATATTTTTTTTAGTTACAGAGCCTTAGCTCCTGATCAGTACTCTATAATGTGTTCAATAATGTGAGCTCCAAGAAGGAAGAGGATTTCATATTTTATTTTCTGTTTTGTTCTCAGTGCCAAGAAGGAATCTGGAACATGGTCAAATAAGTGAAGAAATTTATGCTGGTCTCCTTTGAAGGAAATCTTTTTTGCTGTTGGAAATTTGATGCATTCTGTGACCACAATGGGGCAGAAGGAGATTCAGACTGCAAAATGTGTGGTGTGTCTGAATTTTGATACAGTCCACAGGGGAAACAGCATATGGCTGTAATGTACACATAGTGATGATAACCACCATATCTCAGTCTCTGATATTCTATCTCCAGGAGACATAAGAACAACATGAGGAGGGAGAACCAGAGCAGTGTGTCTGAGTTCCTCCTCCTGGGGCTCCCCATCCCGCCAGAGCAGCAGGGCGTGTTCTTCACCCTGTTCCTGGGCATGTACCTGACCACGGTGCTGGGGAACCTGCTCATCATCCTGCTCATCAGGCTGGACTCTCGCCTCCACACCCCCATGTACTTCTTCCTCAGCCACCTGGCCTTCTCTGATATCTCTTTCTCGTCTGTCTCTGTCCCAAAGATGCTGATGAACATGCAGACTCAGCACTTATCCATCCCCTATGTGGCATGCATTTCCCAGATGTATTTTTTCATACTTTTCGTCTGTCTGGACAATTTCCTTCTTGCAGTGATGGCATATGACAGGTATGTGGCCATCTGTCAGCCGCTCCACTACACCACTGTCATGAAGGAGGAGCTGTGTGTCTTACTGGTGGCTGGATCCTGGTTCTTCTCGTGTGCCCATGCCTTATTGCATACTCTCCTTCTATCCCGCCTGTCCTTCTGTGCTGACAATACCATCCCTCATTTCTTTTGTGATCTCACCGCCCTTTTGAAGTTGACCTGCTCAGACATCTCCCTCAATGAGCTAGTTATCTTCACTGAGGGGGGAGTGTTTGCTTTCCTGCCATTGTGTGCTATTTTGGGCTCTTATATTCGCATTGGGGCCACCATCCTAATGGTTCCATCCATCAAGAGGATCTGTAAAGCCTTGTCCACCTGTGGCTCCCACCTCCTTGTGGTGTTTTTGTACTATGGGACTCTTGCAATGATTTACTTCATTCCTTCATCAAACAATTCCAAAGTCAAAGACATAATTGCTTCAGTTATATATACAGTGGTGACACCCATGTTAAACCCCTTTATCTATAGCCTGAGGAACAGGGACATTAAATTGGCTCTGGGAACACTTTATAGGAGGAAAATTATTTTTTTCTAAGTAACAGTTACTCAGTTATGTTCTTACTTTTCCTAGTGATGCTTCTAGAGACATCTCCTTGAAAATTTGTGGAGGTGGTTTTTGTAAATTGCAAAAATGGCCAAATTACTTTGCTGCCCCTTGTAAAAATATGATTTGTTTCCTTACCCACTGAATCTGGGCAGGGCTTGTTATTGACTTTGACTATTAGATTCAGTGAAAGTGGTGCAAGATTTCCAAGCCTATGTAGACTCTGTTCCTTCTCCTCCTGGAACCTTGAGACCACCATAAGAAACAGTCCAAGCTAAGGTGTGTGAAGATGGGGGGGCACATGGAGGAGGACCCAGATGCTCTAGCTAATAATCAACCAGCACCCAGGTGACCTGGTATGTGATAGCAGAGGCATGAGTGAGCCCTTGTTGAGATTAGTTGAACCAAACCCAGATGAGAAACCCCATCCAGCTAACACATTCCCAGCCCAAACTGCAAGCCCATGGAATTGTCATATAAACAAGTGGTTGTTGTTTAAGCCACTTAAATTTTGGGATGATTTGTTATGCAGCAAAAGCTAACGAATACAGTGGTTACCCTTGTTTCTGGTGCCTTTCAAATTTTCCTTGATTTCAATGATCTCTCTCCCTTTTTGGATTCCTGCTTGGATTATATTCCCTGCCTATTTTTCTAGAACTTACTAAAAAACCATTCAAGTTATGATCTCCATAACCTATTGCCTTAGCTTTAGGAATCTCTTCTTGTCCTCATTATTCTCCCATAAGCCTTGGTATATGTCAGCCACTCTCATTTTTGTCAAGTCAACATCTTAAGATATGACCTTATCTATTGAAGAGATGTGGATGACTTGCTATGATATCAAAATACATGAGCTTCTTTTTCTGAAGGAAGGTTACATATTTCTTTTTGAAGAAGAGAAACAATCTTAGACTAAGATTAGAGGTCTGAATTACATTGCATTTTGTAGAAGTTATATCTTCTGACCTTTTAAGTTAGTGATACCAAGTTAAAGAGAGAAGAATTTTCAAATGTGAGGGGGGTCTGGATGGCTCAGTCAGTACTTAACTGACTCTTGATTTCAGCTCAGGTTACAATCTCATGGTTCATGAGTTTGAGTTCCATGTCAGGTTCTTCACTGACAGTGCGAAGCCTCCTTGGGATTCTTTCTCTCATTTCTATCTGCCTCTCCCCTGAACACGTGTGCTCTCTCAAAAAACAAATAAACTATAAAAAATAAAAATAAAAAGATTCTCAAATGTGATATGTTACTTGTCTTTAGATTAAAACTAACATCTGGACCATTATAGCTCAGTTAGTATTAAGGTTTGTGCAGCATGGTTTTTGATAAACAAAAAGGCATAAAAATAGTTAATGTGACACTGAGTAATGCATAGAACTGTTGAATCACTATACTGAATGCTGATACTAATATAAAACTGTATGTTAGCTATACTGGAATTAAAATAAAAAATGCTACATAAATGCTATTGTTTGTACAAAACATGACTAATAAGAAATTTGATGATAATTCATAGTCTGTATCAGATTATATAAATGAGATAATAATAAACATTTTAGTGTTTTTGTCCTTTTGTCTATCATGTCCTCTAGTTATAAAAAGTAAGTATTGCTCTCAGTGCTTAAAGTAATGAAGTTGAGAATCTTTGCATTTGTAACGTATTTGCTAGTTACACATTGTGTCTAAAACTAAAACATATTGCAAATATTTTGGCTCTATTATCCTTAAATTAGTTTTTTCCTGTGACAAAAACCCAGCAAAGGAGAGCAGTGCATTAAATCTCATTCACAAATTCCCTACACCAATGTAGAATGTTTTTTTTTTTAACTGGAACTTTCTTTGTAGGGACAGCTTATTTACTTATGCCTTCTTTTTTTTTTTTTTTAGTTTTTTTTTATTACAAATAGTTTATTGTCAAATTAGTTTCCACATAACACACAGTGCTCATCCCCACAGGTGCCCTCCTCCATGCCCATCCCCCCTTGTTCCTCAGTTAAATTCCTCCTAATCCTCCTATATGTGCAAACATATGATATTTGTCTTTCTCTACCTGACTTATTTCGCTCAGCATAACACCCTCAAGGTCCATCCATGTTGCTACACGTGGCCAGATTTCATTGTTTCTCATGCCAAGTAGTATTCCATGGTATAGATAAACCACATCTTCTTGACCCATTCATCCGATGATGGACACTTAGGCTCTTTCCACGTTTTCTTAATTCTATGTTACGAAAATGAGTTACCTTTTGCTTCACAAAGAACATACCCTTTGAGCATGATTTCTAGAGACTCAATTCTTAGAAAAGAAAAAATATAAATGTATATAAAAGTAATTTATTTTTTTTGACAGGTATTTAGAATGTGTTTACTGGGCTTATGAAACTTTCTAGAAGAGAACAAATCAGACAGAAATATTTTCCTTTTGTAGAGCTTATATTCTAGTAGGGGATGACAATGAATACATAATAGGTAAGTAAATGTCATGGATTTTAAGTGCTACAAAATAAAACAGTGTGAAGAAATCAGGAATACAGAACATAGGCTGCTATTTTAAATAGTGTGACGAGGATTGGTCTCACCAAGAAAGTGATACTTGAGCAAAGAATTGAAGGCATCAGAGAACAGAGCTAGAGGGAAAAGCATTTGCAGGAAAAGTATTTCCGGAGCAGGTACAGCACCTGCAATGCTCTGAGATGTGACAATGTCAGCTATGTTCCGGGAACAAAGAGGAGACTTGTCACTGAAGGGGAGTGAGCACGTAGAAGAGCAGAGGGAAAGTGGTTTAGTTTCATTCTTCTGCGTGTCTGTCCAGTTCTCCCAGCACCATTTGCTGATGAGACTGTCTTTTTTCCATTGGATATTCTTTCCTGCTTTGTCAAAGATTAGTTGGCCATATATTCGTGGCTCCATTTTGGGTTCTCTATTCTATCCCATGGATCTATGTCTGTTTTTGTGCCAATACCATACTGCCTTGATGATTACAGCTTTGTCATACAGCTAGTCGGGGATTGTGATGCCTCAGCTTGGGTTCCCTTTTTCAACATTACTTTGGCCATTCAGGGAATTTTCTGGTTCCATACAGGTTTTAGGATTATTGTGCTCTAGCTCTGTGAAGAATGCTGGTGTTATTTTGATAAGGATTGCATTGAATATATAGATTTATTTAGGTAGTATCTACACTTTAACACTATTTGTTCTCCCAATCCATGAATATGTTTTCCATTTCTTTATGTCTTCTTCAATTTCTTTCATAAGTGTTCTATAGTTTTCAACATATAGATCTTTTACCTCTTTGGTTAAGTTTATTCCTAGATATCTTACACAGAAAAATAAATTCAAAATGGAGGAAAGATCTAAATATGAGATAAGGAACTATCAAAATCCTACAGGAGAAAACAGGTGGCAACCTTTTTGACTGAAGCTGCAGCAACTTCTTACTTGACACATCTCTGGAGGCAAGGGAAATAAAGGCAAAAATGAACTATTGGGACCTCATCAGGATAAAAAGCTTCTGCACAGAGAAGGAGACAATAAATTAAAAGGCAACAAATGGAATGGGAGAAGGTATTTGCATATGATACATCAAATAAATGGTTAGTATCCAAAATCTATAAAGAACTTACCAAACTCAACACCCAAAACCCAAATAATCTGGCGAAGAAATAGGCAGAAGACATGAATAGACACTTTTCCAAAGAAGACATCCAGATGGCCAACAGACACATGAAAAGATGCTGAACATTGCTCATCATCCGGGAAATAAAAATCAAAACCACAATGAGATATCACCTCACACCAGTCAGAGTGGCTAAAATCAACAACACAGGCAACAACAGATTTTCGTGAGAATGAGAATGAGGAACCCTTTTACATTGCTGGTGGGTATGCAAACTGGTGTAGTGACTCTGGAAAACAGTATGAAATTTCCTCAAAAAATTAAAAATAGAGCTAACCTATGACCCAGCATTTGCACTACTAGGTATTTATTGAAAGGATACAAAATTGCCGAAATGAAGGGGTTATATGCACCCCAATGTTTATAGCAGCACTATCAATAATAGCCAAAGGATGGAAACAGCCCAAATGTCCATCACCTGATGAATGTATAAAGAAGATGTGGTATATATACACAATGGAATATTACTCAGTGATCAAAAAGAATGAAATCTTGCCATTTGCAACAATGTGGATGGAATTAGAATACACTACGCTAAATGAAATCAGTCAAAGAAGGATAAATATAATATGATTTCACTCTTTTTTTGGTGTGTGTTTTAAAAATAGTTTATTGTCAAGTTGGTTTCCATATAACACCCAGTGCTCATCCCCACAAGTGCCCTCCTCCATGCCCATCTCCCCCCTTTCTTCCCTCCCATCCCCATCAGTCCTCAGTTCCTTCTCAGCATTCAAGAGTCTCTCATATAATTTCACTCTTATGTGGAATTTAAGAATTGAAACAAATGAACATAGGGGAAGGGAAGGAAAAATAAGATAAAAACAGAGGGAGGTAAAATACAAGAAACTCTTAAATACAGAGAACACACTGAGGGTTACGGCAGGGGAGTTGGAGGGGGATGACGGCCTAAATGGGTGATGGGCATTAAAGGGGAATTTTGTTGGAATGAGCATTGGGTGTTATATGTAAGTGATGAATCACTAAGTTCTATTCCTGAAACTATTATTACACTATATGTTAACTAAATTGGATGTAAAGAAAATTGAAAAAGAAAAGAAAGAAATATTCACTCATCTGAAGGTCACAAATGCATACCTACATTTTTATATGTGTGTGTATACACATGTACGTGTATGTGAATATATATATGAATATATATATTCCATTTGCTTTGAGAAATTTTATAGTTTTATCCCTCTCATTTATGTCTATGAGACTATTTGAATTAATTTTTGTGTATGGTATGAATAAGGGGTCAAGGCTAATTATTTCCTATGTGCATATCAAGTTGTTCCAGCATAATTTATTGAATGG